TGCTAAGAAATAATCCCACAAAGCTATCACCCTTCCCAGGGTAGTATGACCTCTCTCCAGAACAGCACAATAGAAAAGATACATGAAATGCCATGTCATGCAGCTGGTGAGTTGGAGGTGGAATGGGGTTGAGGGAGACCATTCCAAAGGGCAGTTCTTCTGGGCGACTCTGGCAAGTTACTTAACCTCTCTGTGTCTCAGATTCCTCATCTGCAAATAAGGATGACATTAATACTGACCCACAAAGTCATTGTGAGAATTAAATATGTAAAGGATTTGAAGAGAGCCTGGAACAGAATAAGCAGCCAATGCACATTAGCAGTGTAACGATCATTCCTCCTTTCAAATTCCTGAACCTATAATTAGATGAGGGAGGGTTCCATGTGGAACAGGAAAATACAGTCACACACCACATAATATCCCTTTGGGCAATGTCTGACCTCATATATGTCCACGGTCCCAAGCCACATAAAGCCTATTACATTAAAAATCTGAGGTACACACAATGGTTCATAATAACAAATTGGTACTACCTTGCAACTCATATCAAAACATTATGATTATTGTTGTGCTGTTATTAGGAGCTGTTGAGTCGACTCTGACTCATAGCAACCCTATGTACAATAGAACGAAACAATGCCTAGTCCTATGCCATCCTCACAATCCTGCTATACTTGAGCCCATTGTTGCAGCCACTGTGTCAATCCATCTTGCTGGAGGGCCTTCCCTTTTATCAATAAACCTCCACTTTATCAAGCATCAAATCCTTCTCCAGGGACTGGTCCCTTCTAACAGACAACATGACTGAAGTAGGTGAGACGAAGTCTGGCCATTCTCACTTCTAAGGAGCATTGTGGCTGCACTTCTTCCAGGACAGATTTCTTTGTTCTTCTAGCAGTCCAAGGTATTTTCAGTATTCTTTGCCAACACCACAATTCAAAGGCATCAACTCTTCTTTGGTCTTCCTTATTCATTGTCCAGCTTTCACATGCATATGAGGCTACTGAAAATACCATGGCTTGTGTCAGGTGCACCTTAGTTTTCAAAGCCACATCTTTAAAAGAATACCAGAAAGATTTTTACCTGTGTTTTGTTTACTATGCAAAGGCATATAACTTGGTGGATCATAACAAATTATGGATAACATAGCAAAGAATGGGAATTCCAGAACACTTAACTGTGCTCCTGAGGAACATGTACAGAGACCAAGAGGCTGTCATTCAAACAGAACAAGGGGATGCTGCATGGTTTTAAATCAGAAAAGGCATGCATCACTTTAAAACTTTTAAAAGGTCTTTTGCACCAGATTTGCCCAGCTCAACACAACGTATGATTTCTTGACTGCTGCTTCCATGGGTGTTGATTGTGGATCTAATTAAAATGAGATCTTTGACAACTTCAATCTTTTCTCCATTTATTGTGATGTTGCTTATTGATTCAGTTGCAAGAATTTTTGTTTCCTGTATGTTGTGGTGTAATCCATACTGAAGACTGCAGTCTTTGATCTTCATAAGTAAGTGCTTTAAGTCATTTTCTCTTTCAGCAAGCAAGGTTGTGTCATCTGCAAATCACAGGTTGCTAATGGGTCTTCCTTCAATCCTGATGCTCCATTCTTCATATATTCCAGCTTCTCAGATTATTTTCTAAGAATAAAGATTGAATAAGTATGGTAAAAAGATATAAACCTGACGCATGGCTTTCCTGATTCTAAACCATGCAGTATCCCCTTGTTCTATCTGAATGACAGTCTATGTACAAGGTCTATGTACAAGTTCCTCGTGAGCACAATTAGGTGGTCTGGAATTCCCATTCTTTGCCATGTTATCTATAATTTGTTATGATCCACACAGTCATGTGCCTTTGCATAGTTAATAAAACACAGTTAAACATCTTTCTAGTATTCTTGCAGCCAAGATTTATTTGACATCAGCAATTATATTCCTCATTCCACATCCTCTTCTGAATCCAGCTTGCATTTCTGGAAGTTCCGTGTCAATATACTGCTCAACCGTTTTTTAACTACCTTCAGCACAATTTTACTTGTGTGTGATATTAATGATATTGATTGGTAATTTCCATGTTCTTTTGGATCGTCTTTCTTTGGAATGGGCACAAATATGGATCTCTTCCAGTTGGTTGACCAGGTAGCTGTCTTCCAAATTTGTTGGTGTAAACAAGTAAGTGCACTACTTGTCTGTCAGTTTGTCCTACTGTGGTGGCTGGCATGTGGCTGTGAGGTGGGAGGCTTCACCACTGGCATTTCGAATCCCAGCAGGGTCACCCTTGGTGGACAGGTTTCAGTGGAGCTTCCAGACTCAGACGGACTGGGATGAAGGACAGGGCCCTCCACTTCTGAAAATAATTGGCCCCTGAAAATCTTATTATTAGTATTATTATTACTGCATTATTATGTTAAAGGTATTTGAGAGTATCTGGACATGTTTCTTTAATGTTTTTCATGCATAGAAAGGTCCACTATATATTGTATACTAAGACACACATTTGACTGATGTTACATACAAACTGTACCTAACTGTTACAACTTACATACAAATTTGACTTAAAGACAGACTTAGGAATGGAACTCATTCATAACTGGTGACTGCCTGTATATAATATGGCATTCACACAACATCTAAATCAAACAATGTCTTATTTCACAGAACATATTGTGAACATTAAGCAATGCATGACTGTAAATTCAAACAGAGAAGACATTATGATCGATTTTCTTCTGTAGCTAACATTCTCTGATAGAGTTTCAAAATATATTTTGAGTCATGGCATCATCTGCATATGTGTGTAGCTACTGTATCCCAAGGCAATGCTTAATTTATGCCATCCATTCAGATGTAGAAATTCCAAGAGCTTTATTTATTTTTAAAATTCCCTTTCTTTACTGTATAATCAAGTTTGTATAGTGAAGATTCTTGGGAAATGCGGGTGAATGAGTACATAGCTGGAGAGAAATAAGTGCCTCTCTAATTGACTAGTTAATTCAACACATGAATTAATTAATTCACCATTTAATGATAAACTGTGCCCGGTATCATGCTGGGAAGAGATACCACAGGGAGAAGATGTTGTCTGTGCCCTCATACAGCTCATGTGTCCAGTGAGCTGATAGAAGGGGGGTGTTGTCCAGTTTACTGCCACAGAGCAGAGGAGTGAAGACATGTTTTGCCCCCCTACCCTCTGGCATCAGCATTGGGAGTTGCTTGCCTCATGTTGTTTGAAACCTCCCTATCAACCATGTGTGAGGGCATTATGAATAGGTTAGACTTATTCCTCCCCTCAAGGATCTTCTAAAGAAGTCTAGTTGGTCAAATAATTGATCATTCCTTTGTTGGAAATGTGTTTCTTTGTTGTTGTGGTGCATCATCGAGGTGATTCTGACTCCCAGCAACCTGTATGACAGAGTAGAACTGCTCCATCGGGTTTGCTAGGCTGTAGTCTTTTACCAGAGATCACCAGGTCTTTTTTCCTGTGGAGATGTGTAAGTTTGAACCGCTCACCTTGCAGTTAGCAGCTGAGCACTTAATCATTGTGCCACCAGGTCACCTTGTTTCTTACTTACTACAGAAAAAGTGAACTGAGTACTTCTCACAACAACCAGGAGTAGAAATGCCCAGGGGTGATCTCATTACCTTCTGTCCTTGGAAGAAACATAAACGTTTATTCCCTAGCATATCAGGCTTTTTATCTTCTTAGTAGCTGATCTGAATGTACCGAGTGCCACATTTGGGAGTGTGAGGATGTGTGAGAGTGGGTGTGTGTGTATGTGATTTCTATTTTTTTCTTTTGGGAAATTCCCTAGAGAAGACTTAAAAGGGTGTTTTTGTTTTGCTTTAAAGTTTCACTAAATTCTTAGAAGCCTCTGATTGCTTAAAAGTATTTTCAGATTATGCTCAGCATACAGTGGAGCCTCAATTTACACAAGAAACCTCCCAAATATGGCCTAACAATCTATTTTTTGGAAATGAAATAACTTTGGACTGGGCATTTCTGAAGTTCCTTTTAGTTTTAAAGAGCTCTAAAATCTACATTATAATTGAAGTACTTTGTCTTTATTTGATTTTGAGCTTCAATTCAATAAGACCTTCTACACTTGACAACGCTTTACCTCTTTCCTGTACTGTCTTTATTATGGAGATAATAAGCCACAAACTTGCATGAAATTGACCTAAGTGAGCTTAGTACCTAAAATAGCATTAGTGTGACTTTCTTTAGAAAAAATAAAAGACTGAGTTTTATTTGTATCAAATCTGTCTTCATCTATTTGTTTATAAGATCTCATTTGCTTTTTAACAATGTGGTATGGTGTGAGTTTCCAAAGGGAGACCCCAATGGATGGTGCATTGGGAATTCCCACCCCATGTAGTCTCTTTTTTGCTGGCTCTGAACTTCTTTGTGATTTGCATTAACCAATAGAATGTGGCAGAAGTGATGTGATATCAGTTCCATGACTAGCCTTTAAGAGAATTGGCAGTTTCTGCTTCATCCTCTTATAACATTTGCTTTTGGGAACCCAGAGATGACATGAAAGAAAACTGACAACCTTTACTGGAGAGACTACATCAAAAGACTGTGTGTGTGTGTGAGAGAGAGAGAGAGAGAGACAGAGAGAGAGAGACAGGGAATCCAGTTTTCCCATCACCTGGGTTGAGCCTCCAGATGACTCCAGTCCTGGCTGGACTTCAACCACCTGAAAGTCTACAAAAAACAGCAGAAAAACCATCTAGCTGAACTCAGCAACTCACAGAAAAGTGAGAGACAATAAAGTGGCTCTTGTTTAAACCCCTGTTTTGAAGCAGTTATGTAGAAAGGACAGAACATATGAAAAACCTGTAAACCATGAGAAACCAAACAATACCATTTCTTTTTACCAAGAAAGTGAGTTGGTTTCCTCAGAATAATTCATACGCAACTTAGAAAAATTTTACAGGAAAGAAAAGCTTCAGTGCACAGAGTATCTAGATTAATGAATGGCATTTTTATTCTTAATCAAAAAAGTAATCAAAAAGTGGGATTCTCTCTGTCCTGGTCCTCACCAGTGCTCTTGGTTTCTTCTCATCATTTCCTGATTCATCTGAGTCAGAGCTAGAACCATTCCAGAAAAGCTGTCCCCGGGCCTCCTGCTCATGGAGCCATGTTTCCATTTTGCCAATTTTGGGAGGACAGTAGTCATTCTCTGCTTGGTGTTCTAAAAATTCTGCATTCCATGAATTTCCTACAAAAAAAATTAAAGGTTGACTTAATTTCATTTTTCCCCTAACAATGATTTATTTAATTATTAGCTTTCTAAACTTTTATAAACACAGAAGAAATTGCTTGGTGTCCCTCAGAACTACAGAAGCATAATTCTAATGTCTCTGTAAGCATTAAAATTTTTTTTTTAGTTGTTAATTTTAAAGAATTTTAAATCTTCAGAAAGTCTCAAGAGTAGTACAGTACATACCTTTTATATCAACTCATTGACAACATTGTGACACAATTTTGCTTTTTCTCTGTCTCACACACACATACACACTTATCAGTAGAAGTAAAGAGCTTTATAATACCTACTGAGTAGGTCAGAGGCAGGGCTTGCCCAAGAGGCCAAGGAACCAGAAAGCAGTAGCTGAAAAGACGGGGAGCACAGGAAGCAGAGGTGCCTTGATCTCAAAGGGTGGGCATGACTTCTGGGGTTTCAAAGGGTGGGGCACAGCCTCCTAGGTTTAAAAGAGTCAAATCTTCAACAACTTGGTTCTGGTGTGTGGGGCTGCCATTCACAAGTGCCAGGGGCCTGGGGCTGGCTCTGCTGCCCAAACCTGAGGGGATGGATCTACCATGCTCAAGGGGCAGAATTCTGGATGAGAACTCCCATCCTGGGGCTGAGCGGGTGGGGTTGCCACTCAGTTGGACTAAGAAAATGGGGCTGTCCAAAGCTGAGAAAGTAGAGTTGCTGTTCCAGTGGGCCTGGAAGGCAGAGCTGAAGCCCAGGACTGAGGGGCCCCTACCCAGAATCCAGAGAACATGGCCAACACCCAGAGTCTGGAGGACGGGACCACTGTCCAAAACATCTCAGAGAAGAGGTTATTTTCAAGGCTTGAGAGCTAATGTAGTATGTTCTGCTGGTTTTTGACTTGTTTAATGTTGTTATCCCTTGTTTCCCTCTAATTTCTCCCATTTGTCATGAGAATGTCTACCTTGTTGTCTGCCTGTTCCACCATTGTACTTTAGAAGCAGATAATTTTTATCCTAGATTCACAGATGAAGCAGAATTTTGCCCCAGGATGAAATCTGGACTTGGTGTTGATTTAAGCCTTTTGGGATGATATGATGGGGTGAAAGTGTTTTTCACACAGCAAGGACATGAATTTTGGGGGCCCAAAGGGTGGAATGGCATGGATTGAATTTTATTCCCCCAAAATATGTGTCAATTTGGCAGGGCCATGATTTCTAGTGGTGTGACAATTAGGTAATGATTTTATCATCCTTGATGATGTGATCAAATATGATCAGCCAATCAGTTTTAAGGGGATATGAGTTGGGTCCAACTCGATGGCACATAACAACAACAACAAGGGTGAGATGCAACACTCTTATTCAGGTCACAGCCCTGATATGGAGTAAGGGGAGTTTCCCTGGGGCTAGCCTGCATCACTTTTTACTTTACAAGTGATACAAGGAGGGAGATGTAAGCAAAGAGAGCGGGACCTCAGTACCACCAAGAAAGAAAAGCAGGGAATAAAGCATGTGCTTTGGACCCAGGGGAAGACTGATGCCAAGAAAAATGGAAGTCTCCAAGGAACACCAAGCCCATAGATGTTGAAAGGAGTCAAGAACCTTCTCCTAGAGCGAGCAGAAAAAGAAGACTTTCCCCCAGAGCTGGGGCCCAGAATTTGAACTTCTAGATTCTTGAACTGTGAGAGAATAAATTTGTTTGTTAAAGCCATCCACTTGTGGTATTATTTGTTAAAGCAACACTAGATAACTAAGACACTTGGCAAATTTAACATTGGTATACTAACTACTATTTTCTTAATATATGGCTAATAATTCAATATTTATGGTTGTTCCAACATACAGCTGTTTTTTGTTTGTCTTCTTGTGTTTTGTTTTTAGATCCAGGATCCTTGGATAATGCATTACATTTAATCGTCTTGTCTCTTAGTCTCTTAATTCATGAACACTTTCCTAAGCTTTTCTTCCTCCTCTCTTCCTTCCTCCCTCCGTCTCTTCATCTTCTTCTCTTCTTCCTCCCCATCCCATTTCCTTTCTTCCCTTCTCCTCCTTTTTGTCTTTTCTAACACTGACATTTTAAAGAGTCCAAGAGAATTGTTTTGCAGAATGACTCTAAATTTTGATTTATCTGATTGTTTCCTTAGGTTACATTCATATTAAACATTTTTGGCAAGAATATTGCAAGATGATGTTATCTAGTCGATTTGTTGAACACCTTCTATGTGCTAGGAACATTATAGATGCTTTTACTAACCTTCTCATCAACTCTGACTTCATATCAGAATTACTTGTAGAGCATTTTGGAAACACAGATGTCTGGGACACACTATGGAGCTCAATGGAACAGGCATTTTATTATACATACACACACACACACATACATACAACAAGGCAACACACTGCTGTCGAGTCGGGTCCGACTCATAGCGACCCCTCCTTGGGTTTCCAAGGCGATATCACTACGGAAGTAGATTGCCCAACCTTTCTTCTGAGGAGTGGCTGGTGGGTTTGAACCACTAGCCTTCTGGTTAGCAGTCAAATGCCTTAGGCACTAAGCCACCAGAGATATCAAACCCATAATTTTAACAGTTACTTCACAGACGAGAGCAAATAAAAAGCAAAACAAAACAAGATCCTTTAAAGAAAAATGTTAAGTAAGTAATAGTACAGATGTCCACATAAGGCCAGAATTGTGAAGGTAACATTCAAATGATATAGTTAGAATGATACTTCCTTGAGGATGGTTGAGGCAGAGACAAGATGGCATCCTGTTAACACATTCGCCAAAACCTTCTATAACTGAGATAATGGGAAACTGAATGAAACAGATACAAATAATGATCTTGGAATTCTGAACATCAAATGAGAAGATAAAGAATTACATTGAGCGCTGATTGGAAAGGGAAATGGAGTGAGATCAGTGACTGGGGAGAGAGAAGAGATCAGAGTTGATGGAAATGGGCACATCTTGAAGAGATACACAAGACACTGATGAGAAAGACACAGAGTGGACAGATTGGGAGGAATTCAAAGTGAGCGATATATGTTGCAGCAGCTGGGAGAGAAGCAGGCAGGAAATCCAGTCAGAGGTACAGGTGACCCAGTCGGCCACTGGGAGAGGGAGGGTGAGCAGGAGTCAACTTCAGCAGCAGCCATTTTGGGGCGGGGAAAGGCCTGTGTTGTGGTGGTTGAAGAGGCTGAGCTTTAGACAATCTCTGCTCCAGTTAATCTGACAACAACAGGACGAGTGGCTGTGTGAGACTGGAGGAGTGACACACCCTATGCGCTCTGATCTAACAACCACACACCTCCCCTGCACACAGGGGTAAATAACCCTCTCCGCAGCCAGAGGCGCAGTGGATAGAGAAGCCCCACTGTCACCAACCCCAAACCCTGAACACCTCCACCTTTAGCAAACGGAGTCAGGGCCTGAAACTTGCCCACTGGGGACCTAAGGGACGGGGAGAAGTTTTTCACACTGGAACAAGAGGCACAACCCTGCAGACCCCTCCCTGGGGGGGGGGGCTCCTTGTGCCAGGCACCTCCCACTTCTGTGAACTGAAAGGCCTGTGTTGGGGTGGTTAGAGAAGAGAGTATCAGGGCGGGCAGAAGCTGGAGAAATGCTGTGTGTGCCCCGAAGCGTGTCAGACCCACACTAGTGAATCATAACTGTTGAGCCATACTCTCCACAACAAAAAGTACAGCTTCCCTGCGAATAGGGGCAGAACCTCTCCCCCCCACCACCACACCAGGGGCCAAGTCTCGTACCCACCTGCAGCAACCCACTCCAAACACAGAGCCAGAGGCTGAGGCCGTCCCTCCCTCTGCATACATTACTGGTTGCTCCTTCTCACATTGAGCAAAACAAGCAAACACCTGCAGCTTTTTCCACTGGAGGGGCCCCTTGTCCTAGGCTCCTTCCACCTCTGCAGCCACACCTGTGGGGTGTGGTACATGCTACACAGGGCTGCTGCCTGACCATAATTACAAAAGGGCCTCTCTCCTCTTCAGTTTCCCTCATTTCCCTTCCCTTACTTTTTTCCTTCCTCCTTGTCCAATTTTTCTCCCCTTTAATTGTTTATTTCTCTCTCCTCCTCTTTATCTTAGGTTTTTGCCAACCTTCCAGCTCCACCACCCCCTCTTTGTCTTTTTTTCTGTATTTTTTTAGCTTTTATTTTTATTTTTTTGTTCCTTTTCCTTCTCTTCTTCTCCCTGAGTCTACCCACCCTTTTCCTGCCCGAGGAGGAGGACATTAACTCTCCACTAGTCAGCCATGTCTACTGCACCAACCCCCTCACCCAATAGATGAGCACCACTATCAGCTCCTACATCGCTGGATCAGCAACAGATGGTGGACAATACCTGTTCATCCCAACTGCAACTCCTATTTATGTCAAACAGAGACCTGTACCCACATTCCCATCAGTTATTCTACCAATCTGGAGATAGCTGAGGAGTGCTTCAGTGCTACCAAGTTAACAACCAAAGAAGCATACCTGCCCCACTCATCTGGATATATTGAAACAAGCCAATACACAATCAACAAATAAAAACAACAACTTCAAAATATCTCAGAGACAACAGACAATTTCAATTCAAACAAAGAAACAGGACAAGAAGCAAGTGACCAAAATAAAGAACTAGGAAATCTCCCCAAGGAAGAACAGGTAATAGAACTACCTGAGAAGAAATTAAAAAGATTATATATATATATGTTATTGTTGTTGTTAGGTGCTGTCGAGTCATCTTTGACTCATAGCGACTCTATGCACAGCAGAATGAAACACTGCCTGGTCCTGTGCTAGCCTCACGATCCTTGCTATGCTTGAGCCCATCACTGCAGCCACTGTGTCAATCCATTTCATTGAGGGCCTGCCCCTTCTTCATTGACCCTCCACTTTACCAAGCATGATATCCTTCTCCAGGGAATGGTTCCTTCCTTCTGACAACATGACCAAAGCAGGTGAGACAAAGTCTGGCCATTCTTGCTGCCAAGGAGCATTC